GGTTGGATAGATGGGTGGATGATGACTGGATGGACGAATGATGGATGGATAGATGATGGATGGATGATAGATGGATGATGGATGGATGGATGAATGAATAGATGGATGATGGATGGATGATAGCTGGATGATGGATGAATGAATGGATGAATGCATGGATGAATGATGGATGGATGGATGGATGAATGGATGATGGACAGATGGATGGAAGGACAGATGACGGATGGTTGGATGGATGGAAAGATGATGGATGGAATATATATGGATGGATGAATGATGGATGGGTGGATGGATAAGATGATGGATGGATGGATGGATGATAGATGGATGGATGGATGAATGGTGGATGGATGGATAGATGATGGATGGATGATAGATGGATGATGGATGGATGAATGAATGAATGAATGAATGGGTGGTTGGATGGATGGGTGGATGATGACTGGATGGACGAATGATGGATGGATAGATGATGGATGGATGATAGATGGATGATGGATGGATGGATGAATGAATGGATGGATGATGGATGGATGATAGCTGGATGATGGATGAATGAATGGATGAATGCATGGATGAATGATGGATGGATGGATGGATGGATGGATGAATGGATGATGGACAGATGGATGGAAGGACAGATGACGGATGGTTGGATGGATGGAAAGATGATGGATGGAATATATATGGATGGATGAATGATGTATGGATGGATAGATGATGGATGGATGATAGATGGATGATGGATGGATGGATGATAGATGGATGGAGGGATGGATAGGTGATAGATGGATGATGGATGGATGATAGATGGATGATGGATGGATGAATGAATGGATAGATGGATAATGGATGGATAATAGATGGATGATGGATGGATGAATGAATGGATGGATGATGGATGGATGGATGGATGGAAGGAAGGATAGATGGATGATAGATGGATGGATGATAGATGAATGGATGGAGACTTCTCAGACTGGGACGTTACTCGAGGTGAATCGTAAGCTGGAGATCCCAGACCCCCCCCCCCCCCCCCCCCCCCCCCCCCCGCCTTCCTATTGGAGTCTCATGTTATGTTGTGTTGTCTGAAGTCTGTTGCACATCTGTTAAGGTGGGTTTTTTTGCAGAGCAAAGCTGCCCTCCTGGTGGAGGGTAACTCTGAAGTGCCTTTTTTTCCCTCCACCTGAACCAATCCTCACGTAACCCTCTGATCTCTATTAAGGTAGCGCGACTCGGGTTGCGAATGACCACAGATGATAGATGGATGATGGATGGATGGATGGATGGATGGATGGTGGATGGATGGATGGATGGATGGTGGATGGATGGATGGATGGATGGAAGGATGGTGGATGGATGGATGGATGGAAGGATGATGGACATTTACAACAGAAATCTAAAATCATGTTATTTTACTTCTGTTTTGAGAGAAGACGTTTAGAAAACAAAAGACGAGGTTTCCAGGTTTCAATTTTCCAGTTTTAACAGCAAAGATTTAAATCTGACATCCAGACATTTCCACAGGAATCCAGCATCAGGAACTGGACTGGGACACAAATGGCCCTTCAGAAGAGAGGGAGGAGGTGTTATTAATCACACGTTTAACAGCTTGTTCATCTACACTTTTCATTCTGCATCGATAAAGCAAGATGTCTCCAACAGCAGTTGAATATCGATATCGCAGCTTGTGTATCAGACTGGTGGAGTGTCCCGATAGCCTCATGTTGTGATGTGAGACGTGTCGTATTGGCCCAGAGCGGGTGCTCATCATTCAGGAGGGTTTAACCCAACCCAGACACAAAAACAAGGAGCATCCAGGAGATCTGGTCCTGTTGACTCCACGACTTTATGTGTCTTTATTTCCACTGCTCAGAACAACGGACTGAGGCATTAGGGGCTTCTGTAAATCCTAGCTCCACGCTGCAGTAAGGACCCTTAAGGAGAAAGTTGTGTCAGTGTTGGCAGGTTCTGTGTGAGTCAGGTTTCTGCCTGAATAAACTCCACCAGCAGCGGGGAGGTAAGGCGTGGGCGAGGTGAAGTAACGCGAGGCAAAGAGCAAGGATGATGGCATCGCTTTACGCCTATACGGTGACAACTAACAAAAACATGAGCGTGAGCACAAATAAAGGTCAGTTCATGCATTCCTGAGGGTGGGACAGGAAATATGCATCAATATAACAATTATGTTGAGTTCAGGTGACGTTTTCTGTGAGACTTCGTCTGAACAGAGAAAGATTTTCTCTTTAATCTCAGATTAACTCACAAAAGCCAAACATTCAACTAGGGGAGGGCAATAGAAACGATATAAGGTAGAAACCATATAAAATTGGGTAATGATAGAGTTTTTGGCTATATCGCAATACCGCGATATCGCAACAACACATGACGTCACTAAAGGTGCTTTCATAGGACGCACCGTGCTGGCACGTCGGCGTAATATTACCGCAATGGTAAGTCTATAAACGCGCCATGCCGGCAGACCGTAAAACTGCTACTGTTAGTCAGTTTTAACAAAATGCTAAAAATTTTAAATGCCGTATTTGAATTTTTTTTTCGTAAACTGATAAAAGAAAAGTTCAGAGAATAAAGAAGAAAAAAAAAGCTTGAAGATGTAGAAAATCTGTTTAAAATGTCTGAATGTTCCTCCTGAGTCAGAAGCTCAACGGACGGTTTTGGTTCTCAACAGGAAAATCCAGCTGGAATAAAAAATCAATCACTGATATTCAAAGTCCAGAAATCATGAACTGCAGGAACGTTTCCTCTCTCTCTCTTTTTCCCTGTCCCCCACTCTCTCTCTCTTCTTCTCTCCCTCCTCGCTCTCTCTCTCTCCTTCTCCCCCCTTCTCACTCTCTCTCATTCTGTCTCTCTCTCTCTCCTTCTCCCCCCCTTCTCACTCTCTCTCTCTCTTTCCCTGTCCCCCACTCTCTCTCCACCTTCTCCCCCCTCTCTCTCTATTTCCCCCACTCTCGCTCTGTCACTCTCTCTCCCCCTAAACCCCCCCCCCCCCCCCACCTAACCCCACCAGCCTGAGCTGTGATGCGACAGGAGGACCATCTAGCACTCGGACTTCAGCCAGACAGCGTTCCTGTGAATCTGAACATTTCCACTAATGATGACATTAATGCAGCAGAGCTGTAATTATACAACACGGAGCAGGAAGTGCTCACTGATCATCACCTCAGAAACTAAAACAGCAATTAGAAAACATTTATCAGCTGTTTATCAACCGGCGTCAGCGACGAGGAACGGAACCGAGACAGTGTCGGATCGGATCGGTGTTTCTGATTTAACCTGTAATTATCCAGGTGAACCGTTTGAGAACCACTTTTCATTTACTGAAGGTGAGATGTTTCGTCACCATGACAGGACGTGAACCTCCCCCTGTCACCACTGCCGGTTCACTCCCAACACTGAAACCCTCCGTCTAACGTTCCTGCATCAGTCCTGTAGGAAAATAGAGGACGGGATATCGTGCATCTCCGCGGCCACCAACCCCAGCTTCCTGATGAATATCTTCTTCTTGCCTCCACTCAGAGCGGCGCTGATATCGCTGCGCTTGTTCCTTGAGTTATTATGCAAAAGTTCAAAGCTGCAGCTTGGCTCCAAAGTTCAAACCGATTAGGCTGCCGGTGCAGAGAATGGGTATTATTCTCCTGCTAACCTCGCTAGCACCAGCAGGGTTGCGTCACCGCCATCCAGTCTCGCCTTGGCCCGAGGCGCTAAGCCAGGAAACCCGACCCAACGACTGGAGGTTATCACATGACTTTCTCTCCAAATCAAAAGTGAGTAATGATGGTGACTTCCAGAAGATAAAAGGTTGATGTAACTAAGAGCAACAAAATCAGGAGCAGAGGAAGTTCAGCCACTGAAACTGGTCTGAAAGCTGGTGTTTTATAACGTTGCCACCAGGATTTCTGTCACGTTCATTTAGTCACTCTTTGTTTCCTTTCAGGTTGGAGACACGTCCTCTTGTCGTGACCTGCTCTACGGCTCTCTGATCAGCGTTCTCTCTGTTCCAGACGATTATGATGGAAAGCTGCTCCATGTGGCACCAGGAGGAGCAACAAAGACGTCCCAGAACCTTCAGGTTTTACTTTGGATCAGTAGCTTTAGCATTTAGCGTGAAATTAGCAGGTCTTACGTCTGTCGTGGTTGCTGAGCAACATCATCATTCTGCAGAAAAGCTGCTGCTGGGACTCAAACCATGGAACTAAACACCTGAACATAACCTCTGACCTTTCAGGGGCCACAAATACAATCAGTACCGACTGTATTATGAGGAGGTTGTTGGTCCCAGTGGTACTGGTGTGGTTGAGAGCATCCAGAACAGTCTGGTATCATAACTGGTTTGAAGCTGACTAGAAAGTTCTGCAGAGTGTTTGGATCGGTCCACACCACGACCCACAGAAGCCTCCTCAAAGCTCAGAGAACAACTTCCTTTTCTGAAGCCCTTGACCTCTGACCCTCGAGCAGCTACATTGTTGTAGACATTTACTAGTGACACATTTATGTGTCTCGCGTCTCTGACCTGAATGATACATGACTCTGAGGACTCGTCTACATCCACACCGGCACCAAACCCGTGGAACCGGCCGTGTTCGCCGAGCGCCGCAGCTCAGAGCGTTAAGCGCTCCTCTGATCTGGCATTTTCATCTGAACCAGTGGGATCTGAATGGGTGACTCACGCTTCTGTGCGTGCTGATTTCATCCCTGGTTTGTTTGTAAAACTCATCCACAAGAGTCCTGAGAGCGCGTTTGTGCTCCTGCGGAAGTCGACTGATGCTTTCATTTCAGAGCAGATCTTTATTTGTGCAACAGTCAACAAACCGTGCAAACGAGTCCGTGTGTGTGAGCAGCTGTTATTATGCAGAGAAACAAAAGCTCGGCCTGCCCAGACGACAAATATTAGCTGCAGATCCCAGCGACTGCAGCTGTGGGAATGAGCGTGTGCGTGTTTGTGCACCAGAGCAGGCGTGTTTCCAACACTTCCCACGTACCTTTGTCGCTGAAGTCGTCCACCAGGATGATCTCTGCGATGAGCTGCGGAGGAGAGCGGTTGAGCACGCTGTGAACCGTCCTCAGCAGCGACGACCAGCCCTCGTTGTGAAACGGGATGATGACGCTGGTGTTGGGAAGCTTCTCTGCATACAGCTTCTGCTTACAGCTGCACAAACACGAACGCTTCGGTTACTTTTTGTTTTAATATCTGAGAAACGTTTCTGGCTGAGGCTGCGAAGGCGGTCGAATGCAGCCTCTCTCCCTGATCCTTCTGTCATTGCTCCACAAAGAAAAACAGGAAAACCCTGTTTGACTGTAGCTCCGAGAGCAGCTCAGCGGTCGCCTCTCCTAATGAGAACCAGAAGAATGACTCCCAGCTGCTCGCAGCCTCCCACCAACTTTATCATTTCACCGTTTCCAAACAAAACATCCAGATCCAAAACCGTTAGAACAGGTTTCACTTTCATTCTGTCGGACGGCATCCGTCCTGTTGTCCCGCTCTGCTTTACCGAGCTTGTCCTAGATGTGGACACAAACCAGAGGAAGGGACAAAAGGACAAGAGGAGCTGTGAGGAAACTATAAAACAATGAAATATGAAAACTTTTTAGGTTTGATCTCAAAACAGTCTGCATGAATCAGGTTCACCAACTGGTTTATTTTAGTCACATTAGAGGAGTACTTTAGATACACTAACTAGTCTGGGTGAGGCAGTAAACTACTCTGGTTTGGGGAGTTAACTAATCTAAGTCAGGCAGTTAATTAGTCTTTTTAGGGATTTAACTCATTTTACATTGTACACTACTCTGGTTTATGTAGTTAACTAGTGTAGTTTAGAGTGCAACTAGCCTGGTTTAGGCTCTTACAACTTAGGAGTAGGTAGTTAATTGGTTCACGTTGTAACTGGTCTGAATTATGGCAGAATTAGTTTGATTTAGGGTATAACTAGTCTGGCTGAGAAGATAAAGTGCTCTGGTTTAGGAAGTGAACTGGGCTGGTACTAGTCTGTTTTAGATGTAATAGTCTGGATTAGTCTGGTTAATGATGCAACTGGTCTGGTTTAGGCTCTAACTAGTCTGGTTTAGGTTCAAACTAATCTGGTTTATGAAGTGACTGGTCTGGTTTAACGTATAACTAGTCTGATTTAGGCTCTAACTAGTCTGGATTAGGTAGTTAACTGGTTTACGGTGTAACCAGTCTGGTTTAGGCTCTAACTAGTCAGGATTAGGTAGGTAACTGGTTTATGGGGTAACCAGTCTGGTTTAGGCTCTAACTAGTCTGGTTTATGATGCAACTGGTCTGGTTTAGGCTCTATCTAGTCAGGATTAGGTAGGTAACTGGTTTATGGGGTAACCAGTCTGATTTAGGCTCTAACTAGTCAGGATTAGGTAGTTAACTGGTTTACGGTGTAACCAGTCTGGTTTAGACTCTAACTAGTCTGGTTTATGATGCAACTGGTCTGGTTTAGGCTCTAACTCGTCTGGATTAGGTAGTTAATTGGTTTATGGTGTAACCAGTCTGGTTTAGGCTCAAATGGGCCATTCCCATCTGTACCGGGTCGGCCCGGGCCGGGTAGCCCCAGTCAGCCCCAGCCTGGCCCGGTTGATTCCACACATTCTTGCCTTAAGCCCATGTGGGCTGATTCTACCCACCAATCACAGGCTTGCTCTAATGGAAGGTGTGAATTTGCTGTCAGCAGTGGGTGTGTTGGCCCTGGTCGGCCTGAAGCAGACCCCCTCGAGAAGAGGGCTGAGAATGAGCCTTGGTTGGCCCGGAAAAATACCAGGCCACCCAGATATGTAAACAACCTATGCTACTCGGCCCGGGCCGACCCGGTACAGATGGGAATGGCCCATAACTAGTCTGGTTTATGATGCAACTGGTCTGGTTTAGGCTCTAACTAGTCAGGATTAGGTAGGTAACTGGTTTATGGGGTAACCAGTCTGATTTAGGCTCTAACTAGTCAGAATTAGGTAGTTAACTGGTTTACGGTGTAACCAGTCTGGTTTAGGCTCTAACTAGTCTGGTTTATGATGCAACTGGTCTGGTTTAGGCTCTAACTCGTCTGGATTAGGTAGTTAATTGGTTTATGGTGTAACCAGTCTGGTTTAGGCTCTAACTAGTCTGGTTTATGATGCAACTGGTCTGGTTTAGGCTCTAACTAGTCTGGATTAGGTAGGTAACTGGTTTATGGAGTAACCAGTCTGATATAGGCTCTAACTAGTCAGGATTAGGTATTTAACTGGTTTACGGTGTAACCAGTCTGGTTTAGGCTCTAACTAGTCTGGTTTATGATGCAACTGGTCTGGTTTAGGCTCTAACTCGTCTGGATTAGGTAGTTAATTGGTTTATGGTGTAACCAGTCTGGTTTAGGCTCTAACTAGTCTGGTTTATGATGCAACTGGTCTGGCTTAGGCTCTAACTAGTCAGGATTGGGTAGGTAACTGGTTTATGGGGTAACCAGTCTGATTTAGGCTCTAACTAGTCAGGATTAGGTAGTTAACTGGTTTACGGTGTAACCAGTCTGGTTTAGGCTCTAACTAGTCTGGTTTATGATGCAACTGGTCTGGTTTAGGCTCTAACTCGTCTGGATTAGGTAGTTAATTGGTTTATGGTGTAACCAGTCTGGTTTAGGCTCTAACTAGTCTGGTTTATGATGCAACTGGTCTGGTTTAGGCTCTAACTAGTCTGGATTAGGTAGGTAACTGGTTTATGGGGTTACCAGTCTGATTTAGGCTCTAACTATCCAGGATTAGGTAGTTAACTGGTTTACGGTGTAACCGGTCTGGTTTAGGCTCTAACTAGTCTGGTTTATGATGCAACTGGTCTGGTTTAGGCTCTAACTCGTCTGGATTAGGTAGTTAATTGGTTTATGGTGTAACCAGTCTGGTTTAGGCTCTAACTAGTCTGGTTTATGATGCAACTGGTCTGGTTTAGGCTCTAACTAGTCTGGATTAGGTAGGTAACTGGTTTATGGGGTACCCAGTCTGATTTAGGCTCTAACCAGTCAGGATTAGGTAGTTAACTGGTTTACGGTGTAACCAGTCTGGTTTATGATGCAACTGGTCTGGTTTAGGCTCTAACAAGTCAGGATTAGGTAGGTAACTGGTTTATGGGGTAACCAGTCTGGTTTAGGCTCTAACTAGTCTGGTTTATGATGCAACTGGTCTGGTTTAGGCTCTAACTAGTCTGGATTAGGTAGGTAACTGGTTTATGGGGTACCCAGTCTGATTTAGGCTCTAACCAGTCAGGATTAGGTAGTTAACTGGTTTACGGTGTAACCAGTCTGGTTTATGATGCAACTGGTCTGGTTTAGGCTCTAACTAGTCAGGATTAGGTAGGTAACTGGTTTATGGGGTAACCAGTCTGATTTAGGCTCTAACTAGTTAGGATTAGGTTGTTAACTGGTTTACGGTGTAACCAGTCTGGTTTAGGCTCTAACTAGTCTTGTTTATGATGCAACTGGTCTGGTTTAGGCTCTAACTCGTCTGGATTAGGTAGTTAATTGGTTTATGGTGTAACCAGTCTGGTTTAGGCTCTAACTAGCCTGGTTTATGATGCAACTGGTCTGGTTAAGGCTCTAACTAGTCTGGATTAGGTAGGTAACTGGTTTACGGGGTAACCAGCCTGGTTTAGGCTGTAACTAGTCAGGATTAGGAATGTAACTGGTTTAGGGTGTAGTAATATGTTCCCACGGCTAAAAGCCTAATGAAAAGATTCTTGTTCTGACAGATTCTAGCTGCCAGCTGTAAAGTCTGACTAACAGTGTCTCTGCTGTGAGACGTTATTTTTCTTAACGGCAAAGAGATGAAGTCTTCCATAACCTGAGACGCTGTCCTTTAGCTCACAGGACCGCTGCTCTCTGCTGCAGTCCAGCCTGAACAATGTGCTGCTCTTTTAATGTGATTAATGAAGCACACCTGCTGCCTTGCCCTTCAGTTGCTTTCTCTTATTTCCTTTGTCTCCAGCTTTTGTGGGATCAGATCAGGAATCTGCAGAGACTAATTATCTTGGAGGCTCTCGGGCTTGTCTGACTTTCTTAGTGTCTCCATCACGTCATTCAGTGAGTGAAGAAGGGTAGATGAACCAAGGAGAGCTGCCGGGAACCGGGACAGCACATGCTTGTCGGACACCTGTCACTCTTCTGTCACTTTGAGTGGTCAAGCAGATGCCGGCGGGTCCAAATACCTGACAACTCGATTCTGTGATTCAGCTGAAAAGATTTCAGTCTCAAACAAAAGTACAATTTCTGTTCAGTTTGAAGTTTTTACACGTGGATGGGAATAACAAAGTTCTGAAGGAAAACTTGATTTGAACAACTTCAGAAAAACAAGGTTTTAATCATAAACACAAAAGCAGCCAGGTGAGGGAGAAACTCCAGAATCACACCTGAAATTACTTCTTCACTAGGAGATACACACTTCCACCTGGGCAAAGTTTTCACCGGGATGCTTTTCATTTATCCTTACGAGAGTTTTTCTCAACACAACATTACTTCTGCTGCTTCAAAGCTGCAGGTCTGAACTTCGGTCCCTTGATGGCTGAGTGTGGCAATGTTAAAAGAAGTTTCTGCGTTTGATAGGGCGTGCTACAGCGAATCCACACCGGCACCGGAGCGTAGGATGGAAAGCATGTTTGATGGTGAATGTCTCATAAGGTCACGGGATGTGGGAGATTCATAAATCGGAGGCTAAAAATGAAAAAAGGACCTAAAACGTAAAGAACAGACCTTGAGAGAGAAACCATTAACAACATTTTTCCACATGAAAGTGACAGCGGGGTCAGGGAGAGGTACATATCAGGTGGAGGAAAACGCTGAAGGCGGACTGGTGACGAATCAGGTCAGCCGGGCCAGAGCTGTTTAGAAGATTGTATTTATAGAGTTGTTGGTGAGTTTATTTCAGTATTTCTTCTTTAATGAGTCAGAGGACAGCAGGAAGTGGACTGGATCACATGTCCACATGTCTCATCGTATCTGCAGCATCTGCTTTAATGCCTCATACGGCTGAGAGGACAGCTATCAGCCTGATGTAGGTAAAAGGCCAGGAGACGAGTCTGGGGTGGAGATGTGTAAAGACTAAAGGAAGACATTACTGACAGCCACAGGTATGTTTACCATCAACGTCTCCATTCACAAACGGGTCCCTGTGTGTGCCAGTGTCCACTCTAAATATTCCTATCAGCCTAAAAGTTTAAATTTTTCTTTACTGTGGTCGACCCTCCAGCCATGCACCAATTTGAAATATGGTAGCTGTTTAGGGACATACAGTTGTGGTCAGAAGTTTACATACACTTGTAAAAAATATAATATAATGGCTCTACTGAGTGTCCCGTTATTTCTAAAACTCTGATTTTTCTCTGATAGAGTGATTGGAACAGATACTTCTTTGTCACAAAAAACATTCATGAAGTTTGGTTCTTTAATGTCTTTATTATGGGTTAACAGAGAAAAGTGATCACATTTGCTGGGTCACAAATATACATACAGCAACATGAACTAGCAATTTTGGTGACTTAGAAACGTGTCAGTGAACTGAGCTTCATAGCATGGCCTCTTAACTTCTTGTGAGTGATTATGAGTGACTACAGCTAGTGACTTCTCTTAGGCCAGGTAAATAGGGCTCATTGGATACAAACGCCCACAAACGCTACAATGGGAAAGTCAAAGGAGCTCAGCATGGATCTGAAAAAGCGAATTATTGACTTGAACAAGTCAGGAAAGTCACTTGGGGTCATTTCAAAGCAGCTGCAGGTCCCAAGAGCACCAGTGCAAACAATTGTTTGTAAGTATAAGGTGCATGGCACTGTTTCATCACTGCCAAGATCAGGAAGAAAACGCAAGCTATCACCTGCTGCTGAGAGAAAATTGGTCAGGAGGGTAAAGAGTGAACCAAGAATCACCAAAAAGCAGATCTGCCAAGAATTAGAAGCTGCTGGAACACAGGTGTCATTGTCCACAGTCAAACGTGTTTTGCATCTCCATGGACTGAGAGGCTGCCGTGCAAGAAGGAAGCCCTTGCTCCAAAAGCGGCACCTTAAGGCTCGACTGAAGTTTGCTGCTGATCACATGGACAAAGATAAGACCTTCTGGAGGAAAGTTCTGTGGTCAGACGAAACAAAAATCGAGCTTTTTGGCCACAATGCCCAGCAATATGTTTGGAGGAGAAAAGGTGAGGCCTTTAACCCCAAGAACACCATGCCTACAGTCAAGCATGGTGGTGGGAATATTATGCTGTGGGGCTGTTTTGCTGCCAATGGAACTGGTGCTTTACAGAGAGTAAATGGGATAATGAAGAAGGAGGATTACCTTCACATTCTTCAACATAACCTAAAATCATCAGCACGAAGGTTGGGTCTTGGGCGCAGTTGGGTGTTCCAACAGGACAATGACCCCAAACACACATCAAAAGTGGTAAAGGAATGGCTAAATCAGGCTAGAATAAGGGTTTTAGAATGGCCTTCCCAAAGTCCTGACTTAAAACCCATTGAAAACATGTGGACAGTGCTGAAGAAACAAGTCCGTGTCAGAAAGCCATCAAATTTAACTGAACTTCACCAATTCTGTCAAGAGGAGTGGTCAAAGATTCAACCAGAAGCTTGCCAGAAGCTTGTGGATGGCTACCAAAAGCGCCTGATTGAAGTGAAAATGGCTAAGGGACATGTAACCAAATATTAGCACTGCTGTATGTATATTTGTGACCCAGCAAATGTGATCACTTTTCTCTGTTAACCCATAATAAAGACATTAAAGAACCAAACTTCATGAATGTTTTTTGTGACAAAGAAGTATCTGTTCCAATCACTCTATCAGAGAAAAATCAGAGTTTTAGAAATAACGGGACACTCAGAAGAGCCATTATATTATTTTTTTACAAGTGTATGTAAACTTCTGACCACAACTGTACAAGGTATAGGGATGGGGTTGCTGGCCCTGCTCCAACCGCGTGTGACACACCTCTGTCTCTGGGCTCTACCTCTGCCTCTCTGCTCTACCTCTGCATATGCTCTACCTCTGCCTCACTGCTCTACCTCTGCCTCTCTGCTCTACCTCTGCCTCTCTGCTCTACCTCTGTCTCTCTGCTCTACTTCTGTCTCTCTGCTCTACCTCTGCATATGCTCTACCTCTTCCTCTCGACTACCTCTGCCTCTCTGCTGCCTCTCTGCTCTACCTCTCGACTCTAGATTCCGTTCATCTCCAAGATCTTGGAAAAGGTTGTGGCTAAACAACTCACAGCTGCTCTTGATGAACATAGCATCTATGATAGCTTCCAGTCAGGTTTTCATAGAGCTCATTCTACTGAAACAGCTCTTCTTAGGGTCTCTAATGACCTTCTGACTCACAGTGATGCAGGGGACTGTTCTGTTCTGGTCCTGCTGGACCTGACTTCAGCCTTTGACACTGTTGACCATCACCTGCTACTGGAGAGGCTGAGAGACTGGGTCGGCCTATCAGGATCTGCACTGGAGTTGTTCTCCTCTCATCTCTCTAAGCGTTCCTTCTCTGTGGCCGTCTCCAAGTTTAGGCCCTCCACCACCTCCCTTACCCATGGTGTCCCACAAGGTTCTGTGCTGGGGCCTCTGCTCTTCCTCCTCTATCTGCTTCCTCTTCAGCACATCCTGAGCTCCTTCAAGGAAAACTCCTACCATCTTTATGCAGATGACATCCAACTGTGCATCTCCTTTAAGCCCCATGAGATGTCTAAGCTGCAGCTGTTACACACCTGCTTGGACTCTATCAAAACCTGGATGGCTGGGAGCTTTCTACAGCTGAATGAAGATAAGACTGAGATCCTCATCTGTGCCCCAGACAAGCTGGTTCCCAAAGTCAGAGACTCTCTTGGTCAGCTTGCTTCTCACACCAAACCCTCTGTCAGGAATCTTGGCGTGACCTTTGACCCAGCTCTCACCCTGGATTCTCTTGTTGGCTCCTCCTTCTTCCATCTCAGGAACATTGTAAAGCTGAGTCCCATTCTGTCCCGCTCTGAACTTGAGACTGTTATCCACACCTTCATCTCCTCACGCTTAGACTACTGTAACTCTATTTTCACATGTCTGAGCAGAACCTCCCTGAACCGTCTACAGGTGGTTCAGAACGCCTGTGCTCGGCTTCTGACCAAGTCCTCCAAACACACCCACATCACCCCGCTTCTCCTCCAGCTTCACTGGCTGCCAGTCAGCTTCAGGGTTCATTTCAAGATCCTGGTTCTGGTCTATAGGGCCTTACATGGACAAGCACCATCTTACATTGGTGATCTTCTTAGTCCCTACACCCCCAGCAGGTCCCTGAGGTCCAGTGATCAAAGCCTACTGGTTGTGCAGCACCAGGCTAAAGGTCAAAGGTGACAGATCATCTGCTGCTGTGGCCCCCAGACTCTGGAACTCTCTCCCCCTGAGCCTGAGATCAGTGGACTCAGTGGTCTCCTTTAAAAAGCAGCTGAAGACTCACTTGTTAAAGCTGGCTTTTGTATGACCTTCTTCACCACTCTCTCTTTATTCGGCTCCCCCACCTATTCCACCGTCCTCAGGATCCACTGATTTCCCTCTTTCCTGTTCACTCTCTCTCTTTCTTAACATTTTTTTAATCATAATTGTCTATTTTTTGCTCATTTTAAATAAATTTTTAACCATTTTATAGATTCTTTTTTATGTTTTTACATTTTTTGCTTTTGTGAAGCGTCTCGTGATTTTTATCTTGAGAGGCGAAATAGAAAAGATTTCTTCTTCTTCTTCTTCTCTGCTCTACCTCTGCCTCTTGGCTGTAGCTCGCTGTCCTCGCAGCACATATTTAAATAAAGTTTAAAAACAAATGAAAAGAAGGAACCGGATCGCTGGATTGAAAGCTGAAGTTGTTGATGACATACAGCCTTTTTGATGCATTTGGGCTACCATAGAAGCTATACTTACTCTTAACTATGCAGTGATAGAGTAGAAGTCTTTTACACACTGGGACTTTAAATAAAATAATTGCTCTTTAGTTGTTTTGGTCAAATCTTGAACTTAATGTTATGATTCATCTCACTCTGAATCTCTGGGCTGTGAATGAACATCAGCTAACAAACCAGCAACTGACCTTTGACCCCAGTAGATGATTTAAGCACCATTAGGTGATGCAACACGTTTCTTCTTTTTGCACCAATCTGTGAGAGCAGCATGTTTCTCAACAGTTCCCTGGGTTGTAAACGGACAACCTTTGAACCCAACAGATAATTTAATATTTATTTATGTGGAAGACCTCACCCATCCTCACCCACACTCACGATGGACGGAGTGTCTCAGGTTTTCAGTCCACCTAAAACACCTAATTCACTTCTTCTTCTGTATCTGATGGCGTCTGAGAAATAGGCTCCTGATATGTTGACTGTAATGAAACCTGCAGGTGTGTGTGTGTTTGTTGTTGTTGCTTCACAGACTGATGACATATTAAGCTGAATATCAACACTGTGCACCAATTAAAAGAGCTCCTCCCATTAAAAATGTGGCAGGATGTGTCCCTCGTGAGGAGGAACATCAGGTTGTTTCTATTGCATTACATGAAGATGAAACGTCGGTGAAATGAATATTTTCAGTATTTATAATCTGGACTTTTGGAAGGGTGCCAGAACTTCACAAATTTATGCAGCACAATATTAATTTGTGTTCAAACTGAGTTTGAAACAAGGAGATCAGTAAATTCCCCGTTGTTTGGTTTCTACACATGCCAGAATTCCCATCCCTAACTCACTTGGGATGGCGGATGTCTGGGACAGAGCGGTTTAAGGAGATGCGATCGCTGACGTAGATGTTGAAGCCGTTCTCCCTGTAGGCCTGGTCCACCCGGTCCGCATCCGTTAGAGGGAATGCTTTCCCCTGCTCTCCATTTCCTACAGAAAACAAGAAAAACAACATCAGACACTCAGCTGCTCCTCTGCCTCCCTGATCGCCACTAGGGGGCACCACTGAGGACTGCGTTTAAACCATATTTGCATAAAACGAGAACAATTTCTCGCACAAACAAAAAGTCAAACGTTTGCTCCAGAACAACACAGAGGAAGTACGAGAGTTACCGGATCGAGAGGCGTCTCTCCTGATGGCCTCGTAGTCATGCCAGTCTCTCCTCTGAACACCACCTCTGCCCACCTGAGGTTCCTTCCCGACCCGGTTCACCTATAGAGAATCAGAAGCACACAGCTGATAAACAACTGACTCAACCATCAAACAGCCACGTTTCTGGCTGGCATCTGTAACTTTTGAGTTATTTATGTATGAGTGAAACTCGAAAAGTGATGGCCCCAAAGTTCATTTAGGGTCCCTAGTTGGAACTAAAAGGTTAAACTAATCGATGAGACAGACTCGTTCCAAACAAATCCAGATATTTAAGCCTGTATCGGATGTCTTACAGCTGATGAAAACAACACATTCAGAATATCGGAAACTGTAAAAAGGTTCAATATTCTAGACTCAAAGCGTCACGCTCTCATCAGCTGATGAATCCAGGACACCTGCAGGGACTTCTGAGCCTTTAGATGGTCTCTCGGTTTTAGGGGCAAAACTTGCTGAGCTTTTACCACCGTCCATAAATCCAGAATTGTAAAACCTGATGGATAAAAAGAACACAACAGACTTTTTTATTTTCCAATGAGCTACAAGTTCCCTGGTTCTACAAGCGTTCAGCTCACACAATGAGATTTATTTTCCCTCGGCCCTCAGTCAGAATCTGTTTCAGGAACATCATTTCTCCAGAGCTTCAGCTCTCACTATCTAACAGCGCTCTGCCGAGAGTTCATCCACAGAAAGTGTACTCTTCTATTTCATGCTTGACAAGCCTGTGAGGAGAATACCAATGCCACGACAATCAACTCTGCAGAGGGTTTAAAAACACAACCACACACATACAGACAGATGTGCTGCAGCTCAGAATACAAAGATGCTTTTTGCTCTCAGTCATTCTGCACAGCCACTGATCTTCGGTGACTCTGCAACGTCAGTTACCACATCACAGCACAATGGGGAAATAATCAGCTCGATGGGGGTGCTAATTAGTCAGAGCCTTTAAATGCGCTGGCCGACTGCACGGACTTTCTCCTCGGAGCATCTTCCTGTTGCACCTGATCTGTGCTGCAGAGACCCTGATATTTAGATTCACCTCATCCAGACATGAGTGCTTAAAAGTAAAATGAACAAGCTGTAAAAATACAGATGAGTGCAACGCTTTGTTTATGATGGAGCAGCATTCCAGGTCACTGGGAACCAAAGTTGAAAGAAAACATAATAATGTGAATGAATAAATGTGTTCTGATCACACTCAGGTCTTTTGTTAACCTACTTTCTACACTAGCTGAACAAATAGCCACTTCCATCAGGAGAGAGTTGGGCTTAAAGAGACCAACGATCTCTGACTTAGTTTCCCTTTCCCTCTGATTATTGGAGGAAAACGTATCGTCCACTTCAATGTGATAAAACTTGAGAAGAGCAGGAAAAACACCATCTGGTTGGCTCCAAGTGTCGTTTACGTGTCACCTGTCACGTAGTTGAAGCAGGTCGGAACGGCGTCTGCTAAAGAATTCTTAAACACGGTTTAAAAACGCTGTCTGCTCTTTTATAGCAGCGGTTTATAGATCCTGGTAATAAGATGACAAATACCAATCAGGGATTAAAAAAGGAGCGTTCACAACACCAGCTACTGTTTAACAACGTTCATTAGGCTGTGGACTTTTTACTTCTGAATAGCATGTCCAACCGTTGTCACTGGCTGCATGGAGGTGGTTAGCTAACCTTCATCTGACTGAAGATGGTCTTCTAATCATCATCATCTCCAGTCAGATGAACCCAGACCACCTCCAAGAAGGTCTTCTGATCTTTAGCTAGTTAGAGAAGGTCTTCTGGCCTTTCCCTTTAACATGCTGATATGTAATAATCTCAGTAGGAAGCTACGTTGTCAGCCATCTGTGGTCCATCTCCAGGTTGGTACACACCCAGATACCAAACATCACTATGACTACTTTGGTAAAATCCAGATTCTTCTTATTGAAAGAACGTAATCATCAAACTGTGCAGATCATCAAAAAGCATCGTAGAACATCAGGATGCTGCTGGTGGGGGACAAACCAATCAGATCTCTCCAGCTTTGCCCCATTTCCCCTTTTCTCCATCTTCTTTCCTCAACCTCATGTTCCCTCCTCGGTCACGAGCAGACACCCTCAGTGCATCGAATACGGACCTGACAAGCAGCAGGAGTCCATCTGTGCAAATTTATACTAAAGAGAAACAAGACAGTGCCGCCCCATTTCCTCCTGATTAAAATTTCATCACACGTCGCCGTGATATTCCTCTGGGGCGTTTCTCGCTGCTCGACAAGACCTTGAAAAACAAGACAAGGAGAAAGGGAAAGTTTCCAGCTAATGTGTGCACTTGTTTGGTTTGGTGGAAGTAGAATGTAGGCGGGTTCGGAGAGGAAGGATGGAAATCGAGACAGACAGAAAAAGGGCAAGCATGGAACAGAATCATCTCGGGGAACAGATGGAGGATAAAATCCCACGAGTGCATAAACCACTGATCAGCATTAAGAATCGCTTGTTTAGACTTCACTCATTAAAATCTAAAGGCTTCACCTCTCAAATTATTTTAATTTTATGCTTTCAGCTTTGTCGGACACAGAGGAAAAATATTTAGATCTAAGATTTTACATGTTTTAGAAAGAAATCAGGCTCCAGAAGGAACTTTGGGTAAAACTTTATAAAGCAGTCTGGTTAATCCTGCAGAGCAGACGCGTGAAACTAATTCACGCTTCTATTAACGATAGAAAAGGGGCTTTCTGAGCTTCTGACCAGGTCCTGCTGACCTCTTCAAAATAAAAGCCAGCTGCCAGGTTGCAATCAAACTTTTAGTGTGAAAACCCAGTACAGGTAAAGGGTGCCATTTATGCTAATTAATCTAAAATCTTACCAGAATTATCTTGGATCAGTTTAAGCGTTTGATACAAAGCTTCCAACATACAAAGCAAAACTCTTTTTTTTACCTGTAAGGAAGTAAAATTAGATAAATCTGTCTAAGTCTGAGGACACTTTGATAGCAAGTATCACGAGTGCGTCCATGTTTAGCCTGCTAGCAGCTAACAGATGAAATCCACATGTTTTGTAACACGAATATCATATTAGTGCTCTTTGAAGAGACATTTAATTCATTTAAAAAAGTAGTTATATCAGTTATCTACAGTGGCTCAAAATGGGTGGAGTCTCTACAAACAGGAAGAAGTCCATTGACTGGAGCAATCTTCGTGGCTAGCCAGACTGCTAACGTGTTTAACTTCCGGTATTTAAACTACTGTTGCTGTGTTAGAACACGATGTTAGCATTTTTCCTGCCTCTACATTGTAACGCTACCTTGTTTGTTGGGTTCTGTTTCTTTTATCTAAACAGCGTCTTATTACCACGCTACTGCACATGTGGTACCAATATCTTAAAGTACTTTTTATTTATTTTGTTGCTAAGCACGCCCCCGCCCTGTAAATCTCCATGCAATAGGAAACTGAGCGCCGACCAGAACTAACCAATAGCATTAGACTACGACTCAGATGCTTCAAATTTAAGGAATACCTCGGCTGATGCAGAGTTGATGAACTTTTCACAGACAAGTGTCTAAAATATAAATATAGAGAACAAAATATGACATGAGAATAATACTCGTAAAACAACGTGTTTTAGCTGTTTGTCGCCTACAGAAGCACATTTATAAACAGAAATGTGAAGTCGCCATCTTAAAGGGCAGGTCAAGCGTGCCTCAGAGTCCTTCTCCATCCACGTATCAATTTAAAAAACTGCAACATTAGTAGGCGTTGCCTGGCGGACCAAGAAGGCGGAGCCGCGGCAGTGACGAAGATGGATGGGTAACGAGACGATGCTAGCTCCCTTCACTCTGAGCAGTTATTAGAAGTGGAGGACGTTTCTCCCCCTCCTTACCCAGACACTTGAGAAGAAAGGGACCAAGTCTATTTGGAGGAGACAAGCAGACCTGAGCCTTATTGTTTTGAGCCTGTGAGTTGCCTGAAACTACCGGAACCGACCCAACAGAACCAGCTCTGAATGGTAAGTAGCCGTTAGCCATAGCATTAGATTAGCTGCAGGGTTTGGCTCCACGGCCCGAGAGAGCTAGTATTCAGCATGTTTAAGAGATTTATCTGCTTCAACACACCTGGTTTTAATCAGCAACAAATAGCTGAGCTGCTTAACAGCTAATCTAACCTGTTAAAGCAGGAAAACCACTGAAACGTGCTGGACAGCAGCTCTCCAGGTAGAGCCCTGCACTGAAGCCCTAGGCCCTCGGCACGGCCGGAGTAGTGGAACAGCTCTGATTGACTACAACGGGACCGATTTTGCTGCGGAGTTCGTGCCAGAGCGGAGCGCAGCGGAGGTAGTGGAATTCTGGGGTAAGTCTCTGGGCGACGCCATATTGGATGCCATGTTTCCTTCTACGGAAGCCCGTGAGGATAACAAGCATTTTCTGATTTGTAACAAATGATTACAAAACGTTCATCATTAATAAACAGTGTTTCACACATTTACCTCTTCACTCATTGCCAGTGATGAAAGGCAATCTGACGTTCTTGTTCATTTGCAGGGATTTTTGTCCCTAATGGCCATCCGTTGGTAAGGTCTTATTTGAACACAAAAGTAATGTTTGCTTGCAGTGATTTTGGTGAGTACTGCCCCCTATCGCCACATTGTCACTTTAACAATCAGGTTAGACATGAGAATTGCTCCAGTTGTGGCGCATTTACACTTTGGTCAGCTCAGCGTGGGCCAGGTTGTGTTTACAGCCCATTCAGGAAGGCAGACGTAGACGAGCATGAGAGCGAGTCCACTAAAGGGGCGTGGAGAAGTCCATGATGTCATTCTTAAGGTAGTAAACGTTTGTGAGCAGTGTTGCTTTTGACACAACTTCCTACTCTCTCACTGAGCAGCCGTGGCCTCCTCTCTCATCCAAGAGTGCTCACGGCAGACGATCAACCATTGCGCTACAGCTCCGCCCAGTCTGAGCTGCAGTCAAAGATGTTAACCCCACAGCGTCTACCTGCACCAATCAGAGGCTCCCACCAGTAGGTAGACAGCCACTCAGTTTCTAAGTGTATGTGTTGGGTCGGCTCAGCATGAAACCAACCGTAGGGAAGC